ATATTGTTTTTTCTCTCCCCAAAAAAAAAAAAAAAAAAAAAAAGGAATTGTCACATCACATCATAAAGTTTTCAAAACAGTACATTTTATTTTACAGCAGACAACAAACTCAATTGATCTAGTTTGTGGCATAGAGATGGCTTTAGACTGCTTTTTGGTGGTCATCCATTCTTATCAAGATTCTTTCAATGTTCAAAACACTCAAAACTCAACAGAGAGACTGCATTTTACATTAGTTTACAAGTCCAAGTGTCTTCTATTTATCTTAGTATTTTGAAAGAGACCTTTTGAGGTAGAAGAGTAGTGATGAAGCAATTTCCTTTAAAAATGAATTTTTTAACAACTTCATTTATGCAACAAAATCAGATGATGATAGCATGTTCTCATATTCTTGTTTAATCAGAAGTGATAATGATGCCAGAAACTGTGAAAGGAAGGCTTTTAGTTACTTTCTCCTTTCCACTTTCCAGTACTTTCCCCACCCTCACATGAAAAAGGAGTGTTACTGATTTCAGCTGATACCACATTAAGAGTCAAACATTATTATTGCAGATGTATCCAATACCATACTAAAAATGTACAAAGTAAAAACTAGAAAACTTTCACCCCAAAATCTTTTTCAACTTTGTTCCCTCCACCTAATATACTTTACCATCTATCCATTTCCTTCTAGATTTATGAATGTCATTATTGAATTGCCATGTAAACTAGTTTTTGATTCTCTGAGAGTAGGTACGGACTATAATACACAGTAAAATCCTCTTCCTTGGCAGCAAATTTTGACTTCAGTTTTAAGATAATGTTATGATAGAGAAATCACAATGATTAGATTAATAATCCCACTCTTATCTAACCCAAGGTTTAGTCAATAACCAAAAAAAATAATTATTTCCCAAAACTGTGTAACAATTTTTTTCCTCATCTCAACAATAATTGGTTACTGGAACTGCATTAATGAAAGCAATCCCAACTTAGACCTGGAGGTAGTAATGTTCTTAAGACCCAACCTAGAACAAAAAGAGACTGCCCTTAGAAATGGGTTTGACCTTTTCTTTCACTCTTCCTCCTGTCCCACCCTCTATGAGTGATTTTAAAATAGAAAAGGTCAAAGCCCAGTTGGGACTAGACTTAAGAAAATTTGACAGGGTGGTGTTTTTCCATCCAATTTCTGCCAATTATTTTCCATTTTTGTTTTATTGCCTTTATAACTGAAGCAAGCATTGGTAGATTTTACATTATTTTCATCCACTGATATTATTCTATTATAACAAGCCCTTCTTCAGCTGATTTTGATGGTAAGGAGAACTTTTCTTTTTTAGATTTTTATTAGAGGGTGTGTGTGCTCATTGAACAGAGAGAGAGAGAGACAGAAAGTAAGAAATCTCCTCCCAGGGGGATTGGCCATGCCACAATCATTTCTCCTTCAATCTCCTCTCAAGACTTTGGGCATGCACATACACGCACCCAGGAGTTTGAAGCCACCAGGTCTACGACTCAAACCGGTTGGCTATGTGGGAGTCCAGCGATGTATCCATTACACCATCTGCTGGTCCCAAGAAAGAGAACATTGCTGGGGCATAAGTTGAGAAGCTGTTACAAGAGAAACCATGTCTCTATTTCCATTTTGTTATCTGCCGAGAATTGTTTCTGAAAGGTATTTTCTTAGGAAGTGTATATGTGTCGGTATGTAAAGGGTATAGAATCAAAGACAAAGATTGCAAATTAACTAAAAACCAACCGTGACTAAAGCATGGGTGGTTCCCCACAGCTGGTACCCATGAGACTGGGGTTTGGGAATTAGTTGGTTGTCATCCCTCTTCTGCCCAACAGTGGTCAGTCATATTTCACTGAGGGATGGGCTAGGGAAATGGAGTGTCCGTTATAAAGAGGGCTCCTGTAACTTAAGGAGTAAGCTCATTAGAAAACCCAGCTACCTGCTTATTGTAGTGGCCAGAGTGGTAGGAGAGATATGGAGTAGGAATCAAACCACACAATGCTGTTTAGAGACTAAGCCATGCACCTAACCAAAATACATGCCAGGAGAAAGTTCAAGTTCTCTGGGAAGGTATACATTTTTACATGTCTCTTGGGTTGAAAGTATACCAAAGAAACTTATACCCAAAAGGCATCCAAATATACTTGTTGAATAACTGGAAAAAAATGAATGAATAATAACCTTCCTCATATAATCAAATTTCTGAGCCTATTAATAAGCAATTATCTTTTAATTGAGATCTCTTGTTTTCTAAGATTTAACACTATGTTTGACATACTAATACAGATACTTCTGTTTAAGGGTATCACTCCATTTATTGTTTTTTAATTGTATCTTCAAGTGAGACCAAGTGCCTAGAACAGATCTATTTCATTTAGCACCATCTTCATCAATATTTGTATGAATTCTAAAAAAATTCAAAGCCCACTCTTATTCCCACTCTAGAAAGTGTTCCGAAGAGGTGACCATTTATATAAAATCATTCCATCTCAATATCTTAACACAGCTGCTCAATGAAGTTTGTTAAACTCAATAAATAATCGTAGTCTCTTAGAAAATTTGTTTTTGTGTTTCTACCATAAGCTAGTGAGATTAAGAGCATTTTGTTCTAGGTCTATTAAAAGTCTTCATTCTCCTTAGCATTTAAAAACACCACTTTATTCATATTTAATAATTATTTACCAAATATAGTGTTTTTCTGACTATAAGCTAGATTGATGAGCAACTATGTTTAAAAGTAATGGTTTCATCTAGATTCTCATCTTAAATTATTCAATTGTAATAAAAGCAGAATTTTTAATTAATGATATAAGGGCAAACCCTGAACCCTTTCATCAGTCTTTCAGCTTCAAACTAGGCTGATGAGCAAGTATCTTTGGGGTTTCCTAGAACTAGGAAAAATGTCCATTTTATGTGGAAAGAACCTTGCCTTTATTTCTTCTCCTTTTAAAACATCTCCAAGGCAAGTAAATGGGCCTTTGGGACCAGAATAATAAATTAATTCACTGAACACAATATCTTGTGCCGAACAGGGACTCAAATACTATTTACTCAATAGTCAAATCACATATTTTTTTTTTCTTCAGCTGTGACCAGCTGTAGCTCTTTAGACTCGGCCCATTTCACCTCTCTTATTCTCAGGACATACAATGGTGTAGCCCACATAAAAGATGCTTTGTTTATCAGATGAAGCGAAAAGCAAACTTGGCCCCTTCATTTTTGCTCCTTTACTATCTGTAAGACAGGCCAGGGTAAATCTAATTCATCTCCATCATCAACATTCACCATTTAAGAAACTGCATGGAGAACCACATCCTGCTAAAAAAAAATCCATCTGTTCAATTAGACCAGGGAGCAAATATCCCTGTGAAGAGTATTTTAACTCTCACTTAGCTCACCATTTAGCACACAGACTTGCACTAATCCATTTTTCTCATGTTTTCATCACTGATTAAACTTCTTAATGGTTCACTGACTCTTGGTCTGGATCTCACATCTATTATCTCAGTTCCTCCTGTGAGTACCAAATAATGATTAAAAACTATTTTTATATCCAAGGGCATGCAGATGAGGTTCTGAGCCTCATAAAAAGTAATCAGAATTCATTCATTAAGCCAGTCGTTAATTCCTATCTCTATATAACTGTAGGCTTTGCAAATTTACACATGGATCTCTGTTGCATATTCAATAACATTTTTTTTTAACCCTCAGTTGTTATTTCTCGGGATGAGAATAAATAATCAATGTTCAATCAGCAGATGTTGCTTTAGGTATAGCAGTTTACAAACTGTAAATTGATTTAATAGATTTTTCTTCTACTATTCAGAACACAATAAAGATGGCTTATCTTTGAATCCCCAATGCCTAGGAAGGACACTGGCACACAACAGGTCATTACTACTCATTCATGCATTGGGTTGTATACATATTATATTCACAGTTTTCAATAGTTAACATTTCTTATTCAATTTTTTTCTACTTTTATAATAACTGCGATACAATTTTATAAATCCAGTACTGAGCACTAGATAAGAAAACCAAGTTACACTTATATGGTGCTTTAGAATCCACAACATGCCCACATATGCATTGCTGTGTTTATTCTCAGCTGTAGGCACGATGGAATGTGATAAACCTGTAATCTCTTCAGTGCTTATAACAGTAAGTTTACAGAGTGGGCAATCAATATTGATTCATTCAGCAGGTATTTAAACCCTCAGCTTATATATTTATTTATATTACTCTTCTTATTGTAGGTCAAGCACACAATGAGAATTTAAGATAATGCCTATCTTGCAGAAAATTTATATAGAAAATATCTAATGTCCTGCATTTACATAGCACTTTATAGTTTAGAAAACATACACATTAATTACCTTTTTTCTTGCTACCTGGGAAAATATACTGGTCATAATTTAAATGGACCTCACCAGTGAAGTCTTGACTGATTAAATTAAGTGGTTTCATTCTTTACATCCAAACAGTATAGAGCATAAACTTCCTCTTATTATATGTGAGAATTACTTGGGAAATTTTATCTTGAATTTCACAGTACTCAAAACAATAGTTGGTATGTAAAGAGGTGGTTATTATTCATTCATAAACATGTATACCACTGATATTTGTATAGTGCTTTAGTTTACAAAGTACTTTAATATGCACTTCTATTCTGAAATTTTTAGTACCATGAGAATATTTTCTTCCCTTTTGGTTTCTCTGGTATCTTGAATAGTATGTGACATACTACAGATGATCACAATAGTTTAAGCCTGGTGTTTTCAGTATACTTTATAGTTTAAAGCAGTTTCCATGTGTTATCTTCTTTGCTACCTGGAATACTGTATTTTTACTCAAAATCACCAGAGTAGGAGAAACACATTGGCCTCAAATAAATAAATTATTCATTCATCGAACACCGAATTCCTTATGACTGCATAGAACTACATTCTCTTGAAAAAGCAATTTTTTAATCATGCTTCTTTTAACCTTTGTATCCATAGTGTCTAGCACAGTATAATGTATATAAGAAGTAATCAGTATGTATTCATCAATACTGAAACTTGTAAGGTTTTAAGTGCTTTAGAGTTTACAAAGCACATTCACATATTTTTTTCTTTGGTTTACTAGGATATAATCATAAATAATCTTTGTGTTCTCAGTGTCTAGCACAGGGACAGGCACAGAGACAGAAATTAGTATTTTGGGGGCATATTCTATGGTATTTACATCAGGGGGTGGTAATGTATGGACAGCAGGCCAAATCTACTTGGATCATAAGCTAAGAATGGTTCTTACCTTTTATAAAGGTTGTTTTTAAAAAAGAATAAGCAACAAAGACCATAATGCTTGCAAGTCTAATACCCCTGATTTACATAATGCTTTACAACTTACACTGCACTTTCAATGGTTAACTGTGCATGATTGCCAATATACTATTAATGAGTATGTCTTGCTTTTTTCTCGTTTTATACACACATTGTCAATCATTTATATCGAGTTCCCTCATAACTGAGGGGAAAAGAATCAAAGAAAGGGTAAAACCTGCTAAATCGTCCCAAGTTCTGTTTAAGTCTGGAGGTGAGTATTAAACCCAGGAATAGAGTTGGCAAAGTCCAACAAATTATTTGGCCACTACTATGAGCAGGGAGTTCAGGTTACCCCTTAGGGCCTCACTCCATCACAGGCCCAATCACCCTCTCTGTAACCAACATTAGAAATCCCAAAACCCAGGAATCCTGCTCACCTAAGCTCAAAGAAGGAAGGTATTGCTGGTTGGTGCTTCTCAGAAGGCAGGCACACCTGTGCATTTCTTGCCTAATTCTTCTCATTGGCCTGGAGCATCTCTTCACATTTTCTCTAGATAACCTGGAAGTTTATTTTCTAAACAGCCCTAGGCTGTCCTCTTCTCATCAGCCAAGTGCTTCTGAGGTTTAAAAGGGACGACTGAAATACAGTATCAGTTACATGGATTCTTGATCCTGAGGTGAATAACAAAAACCAGACTAGATATTGACAGAATTTTGATCTCTCTCAAGTAGAGTAAATGTGAAGAGGAATAAAAGTTTTAGAAACACTAAAACCATGAGGAACAGCTAGAAACTGTTAAAAACTGGCTTAGAACTGGCCCAGGCATAGTATTGCCAATCTATGGATATATTCCTTTAAGGTAAATGGCAATATCAAAAAGTACATCTCAGAACAAGCAAGTTTAAAAGAAGAGAACTGGAAAAGTCTAAGGGTAGGGGTTTAATAATAGAAAAAGAGCTAAGGTTTAAGGTTATCTTGTTGGAATTTTCTTGGGTCTTGAAGTTTCTATCTTTCTTGGATTCTAGGTCATAAATCTGCTTCCAGTCTTTAGTCTTATGATATCTGTTTCTCTTGCACCTTCTGTCCATCTAGGATGGTTTGAGTCTTATTTATCTTTAGAACCTTTAACCCATGGATCTTAGGTCTTCAAACTTGGGCTATCTCAGGTCATTGGTCTCAGTTGTCAGGTCTTCCATGTGTCCTATTCCAGCTCTTAGACCTTCAGCCCCAAACCTGGGTCTTTGACCTTCTGTCTTAACTTGAACCTTCCACTCAACTCAGTCAGGTTTTTGTCTAACTCGGGCCATCTTTTGTACATCTTGCCTCTGGAGGCTTCTGATGGTCTCAGATCTGAGGCTTCCATTTATCTTGGGATATGGGCTTTCCATCTTGGTTCTCAGGTCTTAGGTCTCAAAACATCTGTCTTATCCTTTGGGCTTTATATCCATTATGAACAGTCTACCTTCAATCCATCTTAGGTCTTGAGTTTTACTTCAGTATAGGCTCTAGGCCCTTGTTGTGGTCTTGAATCATCTCACAGGGCAACCAGGATAAGAAATGGCTCTGTAATACTTATTTTGGTAAGTGATATTCTGCACCTATTGGAAAGGGGTTAGGAGGCCTCTCTGACACACATGACATACATGCACACATACACAAAGAAATAGCCAAAGAAAAGTAATACATGAAATAAGAGAGAGACCCATGAAGAGGCTGAAATTCTGAAAGGCAAGTAGAAAGGAAAAAAGTAAAGAAGAAACACAAACAAACAGAGATTAATGCTAAAAAAGAGAAAATCACAAACAGCAAAGAGATACTGAGGCACACTGTGGAGGAAAAAGTAAAAATAGCCCAAGACAGGCAGAAAGGAAACGTAGAAAAGAGAAATGCAAGATAAGGAGAAGCAGCAATAAGTAGGCCAGAAATAGAAAAAGGTAAAAATGTCAAGCCAACAAGAAAGTAAAAAGATTACAAACCACCAGAGTTCACAAAGATAAAAAGAAGAAAAGTAGACAAAACAAGGAAAGGACAAAACACACAACATATGACTCAAACAAGAGACACAAAAGGAAGAAAGAATGATAGAAGAACCAGATCTAGGAAAACAAAGAGAAACAGCAACAAAATGAGAGAACTAGAGAGGTACATTTAAGACAAGGCACAGATCACTCTTAGGAAAAAAAAAGAAAATGAAGAAAGACATATAGGAGAAATTAGCAAGAGAAACATGGAAATAGCTAAGACAACTTTAGAAAGAAAAGAGCAGAGACATTCAAGAGAAAAACAGACAAGCAAAGAAATATACACTTACTAGTGAAACAGTAAGCAAAGGCATTCATTCAGAGAAGGAGGATAAGAAACAGAAGAGACAAGATACAGCAAGGGGCACAAAAGGCACAAGAAACATCACAAAAGATAAAAAGAGAAAGCCAAAGAGTGCCATTAATAATTATAATAAACCAGTATTATTACAAATCTATATCTACTCTTACCAACAATAATAATTATAAAACCACCACCACCCCAACATGCTTGATCTTTTACTCACAAACTTTTTCCTTAGGGATTTCTTACATAGAACCCAAACATGCCAACTCTGCCTGCCACTAAACAGTGATAATGGTTACTTATATTTTGTCAAATAAACTTCTGAAACTTGTCAAGTACTTTACTAAGTACTTTTCATAAATGGTTTTATTTAACCCTCACAGACAAGTTAATCAGACTGAATTGCCAAAGTTCATACACCTAATGAGTTGTAGAGAAAATTTAAGCACAGAATGTATATCTCTTATCATTCTGCAACAACTATGTACTAGGATTTTCATGACCATCAAATGAGATGTCACAAATAAGCGAATATTTTTATAAAGGGCCCTTAGAAAGCATTTGTCAATCCCCTCATTTATTTTAGCTTCACCTTTCCTCACCCTTCTAGAAAACTAACTTGGTTTTCACACCCTGCACTATTATAATGTCTACTCCAGGGTCCAGGTTTCTTTTTACACCAAATCTTATTAAGTGCAAATAGATTCTCTCACAAATGGTGATTAAAAAGGGACACCTTTCAACAGAAAGCAAAAACTATGTTTCAGGCTTCTCAATGTTTAAATACCTCTAAGAATAGCAGAGGATTCAAGGAAGGAAGAGCAGAACAGACAAGTAAAGGCTGAATTCCTCAGTAATACAACCAGTAAGCAGACTAATGTCTGTGAGTTGCTTCAGTGAACCAGCTGGTAATATGGGAGCCTGGTCATCATACCATTTCACATCCAGCCCCACTTAACGTTAAACCACCACACCCTATCCAATGCCAGCTCCCAACAAACAGCTATTATTTCTGGAACAATCTTCACAGGGTTGCAATACCAGCAACTTACTTCATTCTGGTATTCTAAAATGCTAGAGTAGCCATGTTGATCTTCAGGTAGAAAGTCTGACTTCTTTTATTGTGTTCAAATTTCTTGATCTACCTGAAGATCCAGCTCTCTGCACTGCTTTTGAGAAGGATCATGATTCAGCAGTTATGAAGGGAACAGTCACGAACTACAAAAAACAAAACAAACAAACAAACAAAAAAACAAAAGATAAACCATATAAATGTCATAAAGCATTGAGAACTGTGCTAGAATTACGGACACAGAACTTAGAAAATTATAAACTCAAAACTTTAGGTCTTTAGAGCTTTTAAATGGATATTTTTTTTTCATTTAATACAATAGGAAAACTATAGTATAAATGGAAAAATATCCTGCCCCAAATTACTAGATAATCCACTGGAGACCTCACCACCAGTCATAGCTTTATACTATTAATTGAACACTGGAGTCTTATTTAAAATGCCAATCAGCTAGGAAGGAGTCCCTTTAAAATGATTGACTGAAATAACAAACACAAACAATAGATATGAGGTGAAAAGAGAATAGGTCTAAGAACAGGATCCCCTTTACTTAGCTTTAAGTCTCCTGGATCAAGACTACCAAAACTATAGCAGCAATTCCAAAACTTATTATATTGCTTTCTAAGATAAAGGTGAGTCACTCTGGGAGATAGACATTCTCACAGTAAGAAAATCCACATAGTATACTGGACCTAGGAGAATTTACCTAAAGTGTCCAAGTATAGCAGATCTCCCTAGGTAACACATTTCTAGATTGTAAACTTTCTAAGTTCTGTTAGTAATTTTTTCTATCTCTAAGTATATGGGTCTTTCTAGTAAATTATAATATTTCAAGAGTTCCTACCCATGAAAACATCCCATAGTACTTACCAGGTACCTGCTCTTTTATGAAGGTTGCTTAGCAATGCCTATACAATGAGAGTTTCCTGCATTGAATGGTCACCTTGATTTCTAAATCCCCACAACTCCCTAGTCAGCTTCTTCCATCACTGACCTTGAGAATGCAGGGTCCTGCTTCTTTAGATCCTGTCTGCCAATATAAAACTTTGTGCCATTTTCTGTAAGGTTTCCATTTGTAGTTATGAGGCTTCCATTAGCAGGAACAACATAAAAAGATAGGACTCTCACTTATCTTCTCAAACAGCTTGTGTGTTTATATACCAGGGATATCTCAAGGCATCTTGAAGTATGTAAATGATTGACAAAGTTCTCCTTATTGGACCACAAGAGATTTTGGGGACCAGATGGGACAGAATGATTTGCTCATGAGATCAATGTTGCTGATGTGGGAGTTGTCCCTGTTCTCCTAAAAGAAAGAAAAATTCAGCTGTAGGTCTCTTATCACATACAATAGTTCCATACTGAACATCCTAACTCAGAGACTGCTACCCTCTTCACATTATGACTTTCACCAATTTGACACCTTATTGCTTCCCATGTTAGTTAGGAAACTTGTTTTTATCAAAGTAGACACAGGATAATGAATACAATTTTAGTGAAAAGCTAAATGCAATGTATACTGTAATACAAGGTTAAAGTTAAGATGACTTACTGTGCTTGTAGGGACAACTTACCCAACTTGAGTTGTGGTGGCTATCTTTGAGACTTCATCCTTTCATCTGAGCCCAGGAAAGTATCTTGGTAGACCCTCCTGACCTAGGGTTGTTGCCCAGTGGTAGTGAGCTTTTCCCCTGGAGGATCCTCATGCCCCATCTCCACCTAGGGATCGTCAAAGGGAATGGGTCGCTAACACTGTAAAGCAACAAGCCTATTCTTCTGAGGAAGATCTGGAGAAAAGACAAAAGAAAAATAAATTATCAAGATGGAGAACACCGGGAAAGTCTGTCCCGATGTGCAATTGGTAGCTGTGTTAACCCATGTCTACCATGTTCTTCATATGAATTGAGGGGTAAGCATTTATAGCTGTGTAGAGCTCTGTATTCTAGCGACTATGCCAGTAACGTGAAAATTCTATTCATCCCAGCTCCATTTCAGGTACTTTCCTTGACCTCCAAGAGCAATTTAGAGCTAAATAACTACTTAATTTTCCATACTGTGCTTGATTGTCTAGTCTCTACAAATGAGCAATTCTCTAAATATACCTTATTAATGCCCCTATATTCTCATCAGAAAATATAGTGAGGATCAAGAAATCAAGCGATTGAAACTAAACAAAGTTAAAGCTTTCTCAACCAAAAAAGTCATGAAGACACTTTAAAAAGTTCACAAAGAAATGGGTTATTATCTATTGATGATAATGTGTATAATATCCCCAACTGGACTGGTGAGAAGTGTATTCATGTTGGAATATTCACTTTACAAGCTAAGTGACATATGTGATTGAATGCATAAAAGAAATTTAAATTAAATTAAATTTTAAAAAACCCACTCTAATGTGTTCTGAGCCTGAGTGCTGTAAGAATTCTTCACATTGCCTCCGGCTTCTTTTATCAAAGCATTTACTCAAAGAGTCTGTCAGTTAATTGTGCGGCATTTGACTCTTATTTTTTTCTTTTATTGTTTTTCCAATTTGCTATAGGGCATGCGCTCATGAGAGAGAGCGAGCGCACACTCTGGGAGGATGGCCACACAGCAATCCCTTTTCCTCTGGTCTCCTCTCAGGATCTGGGCTTGCACACATGCACATACAACTGAAGTGTTTTTTTAAGTCATGGAGTCCAGAACTCAAACTATGCAGTCAGCCATGTGGGATCCAGCCGCCTTAACCACTATGCCACTGGCTGGGCCCGCCTCTTTTAATTTCTACATTAAGTAGGATTATTCTGGAAAAATTCCAAGGTAAATAAAATTGTTTTCCATTCAATCTATATGCTATAGTTCTTGAAAACTTGTATAATGGGAAACCAACAGAGGTCTAGGATACTCAGAGAAACCAAGAATGCTCATAGGCATATGGAACTCCAGTTAAGACAACAGCTAAGCAAATCTATGCAAAAGGAAAAACAAGATACAGAAGGCCAGGGATCCAGTAAATACCTTATATAGGCCCTAGGGATCTCTTCTATCTTTTATCAATTTCATTGATTTTCAGATTAGAAAACCTTCAACTTCTTAAAACAAAGGAGTGGTGCGTGCGTGCCCAAGATCCCAAGAGGAGAATGGAGGAGAAAGGATTGCGGCGTGACCATCCCCCCGGGGGGGTGATTTCTCGCTTTCTGTCTCTCTGTCTGTCTGGCGAGCACACGCGCCCTATAGCAAAAACCTCTCCAAAAAAAAAAAGGAGTGGCAGTGACAATAAAATTAAGGTCTGCCAAAACAGAGCTGACACAGATCAAACTGATCTTATTTAAAAACAAATCAGGAGAACTTAATACCAGTCTACCAAAAACTGTGGGAATAATTTAAAAGTCAACCAATTAGACAGCATAGGTTTGTTCTATTTGCTAATTACCTAGGTGAAAAGAAAGGAATTAATTCACTGCTTTGCACCTCTCTTCATTTAAGAAATAAGGATCAATTATGCTTGCATTTACAGACCTTACTGGAGCCCAGTTCTATTTTTTTTTCATTTTTAAACTTTTAATTAATTAATTAATTTACATTCATTCCCTGACCATTGTCACAGTATATAAATGGAAAATTGTTATATTTTTTTCTTCCTTATTTCTCACCCTCTGCCATTTCTCACCCTCCTCTCACACTATCTCTGGTGTCTACAGTTGTTTTCCATTCCTTTTATCCCCCACATTTTATTGATTCACAAAATTTCTTAAATAATCTAACTACTTTCAATAGCAAGTTCAGCTGGTATATACATATCTGTGAACACATATCTGACTTTAGGCATGAAACCCTGAGTAGAATGAACATACTATAAGATAGCATCTAGCTGATGCTATATAGCTTACTACAGTCATTAAATAGGTATTTTTTAATAAATTTTTTAATTTCAAGAAAAGTATTTTTAGCTTTAGTAAATCAAAAAAATGCTAAGGAACTTTGCTTAAAACTTAAAAGCCAGGAAAGAGATTAGGATTCTTTTCAAATACTAGGTACATGAACCTATCGGCAGCTCAAGACAGGATAAAAATCCTTAAAACCAGAAAACAAAGCCTAGGAGAAAATCAGCAATGTTTTAGTCAAAAATCATAAAATGCTATTTCACCAGTTCAGTCTCATGTACTTAATCTACTTTCTGTTGTGGTTCAATCTTCCCGACTGAATTCTGGGATATAATATTCAACTCCAGATTTGTCCCTACGGTAAAGTTGGCCATTTTCTTAGTTTCTGAAATCTTATTTCTGTGCGTCTGTATTTAATTTTCCTTGTATAGCACTCGCTAGAGAACTTCTTGGAGATCTGGTCCAGTGTTGGTAAATTCTTTCGAGTTTCTTTATCTGAGAATGTTCTTGTCTTTTCTTCCCATATGAAGGATAATCTTGCCAGGTACAGTATTCTTGGTTGAAATTACTTTTCCCTTAACACTTT